GAGGGAGGGAGAGAGACAGGGAGGGAGGGAGACAGGGAGGGAGGGAGGGAGACAGGGAGGGAGAGAGACAGGGATGGAGGGAGACAGACAGGGAGGGAGGGAGACAGAGAGTGAGGGAGACAGACAGGGAGGGAGACAGGCAGAGATAGAAGGAGGCAGAGAAGGAGGGAGACAGAGAGGGTGGGAGACAGACTGAGATAGACGGGGACAGAGAGTGTGGGAGACAGACAGAGACAGAGGGAGACAGAAACGGAGGGAAACAGACAGAGATAGAGAGGGACAGAGAAGGAGGGAGACAGAGAGGGTTGGAGGCAGAGAGGGTGGGAGACAGGGAGACACAGAGAGAGAGAGACAGAGACAGACAGACAGGCAAGGAGACAGGGAGAGGGACAGGGAGGGAGACAGAGAGGGAGACAGGACAATTACAGATTGAAGAGATGGGGCAAAATACAGAGAAAAGGGTCCACAGAGAAGGGATACAGAGAGGGGGGAGATGGGAGGGGTGACAGAGTGTTTGTTGGGGACAGTGTAGATGAAGTTTTATTTTCAGTTTAAAAAGGTAGAGGAAGTTGTACTGTGTCCCTAACCCCATGCTGTCCCTGCCCTGGGAGTGTTTGTTGGGGGGACAGTGTAGAGAGAGCTTTACTCTGTATCTAACCCCATGCTGCCCCTGTCCTGGGAGTATTTGATGAGGGTAGTGTAGAGAGAGCTTTACACTGTATCTCACCCTGCTGTATCTCACCCAGTGCTGTCCCTGTCCTGAGAGTATTTGACGGGGACAGTGTAGAAGAAGCTTTACTCTGTATCTAACACCATGCTGCCTATGTCCTGGGAATGTTTGTTGGGGACAGTGTATTGACAGCTTTGCACTGTATCTGACCCCGTCCTGCCCCTGTTGTGCGAGTTTTTAATTGGGGGACAGTGCAGAGGAAGGCTGACTGTGCTCCTAACCCTGTGCTGTCCATGTCAGTAAAGCAGGAGAAGCTTTACTCTGTGTCTAACCCTATGGTGTCTCTGCCCTAGGAGTGTTTGATGGGTACGGTGTAGAGGAGCTTTACGCTGTATCTAACATCGTGATGTCCTTGTAC